AACAAAAACACACAAACACACAAGTTGTTAATTCAAAGAATATCCAAATTGTTAACTGAAAGATATTCAAACAAGTCACTCAAAAAAATTCACCAGAACCAGGTGCTGCCTTCTATTAGGGAGCCAACAGCAAATTCTTGCAAAAAACCCAAACACACACCACCCCCTTCCCCCTCCCCCCAAAAAACCCAACCCCAAAATAAAAAAAAAAAACCAAACAGCGCTCTGTAAAACAACTGAGATCACTGTTTTAATCAGGCAGTGTTAATCTTGATACTTGGTAATCCTGGTAATTCACAACTTCAGTTCCAGAAGACAGTGAAAATTTTAGTCACTGAGACCACTGAAGTTCATGGCACTTCATATCTCACAGCAATGCACACTTAAAGACGTATGCAGAGCACTTACTCATCGTTAGTTTCTGTTCTTACACAAAGTATTAACATCTGTATTGAAGGAAGTCCCTAGAAAAATGCACGGAAATCAGGTCTGCAGCTTCAGTTCCTGGCTTTTTATGAAGCTTCTAGAATTTAACAGACGTGCTACAGTGGAAAACCAATCCCATTTCCTCTGAGGTAAGTGGTGTATTACAACTATCAACAGCCAACTATGAAGAAGTATTTTACAGTACCAAGAAGAATCCCATTTTTATTTCAACCCCATTTACTTACTAGTTAAACAGCCAGACACACGAGAAAATCGTGTCACAAGACCAACGTGATTCACTATATGGTCCTCCATCTCACTTTCATCCCTAAAAGTGTCTCTTTCCTTTTGGGCCACCAAAAAGATTAAGTCATCCTCCTTTGGATGAAGCTGCCTTGCCAAATCGCTGTCTTGAAAATGAGCTACCCAAAACACATGTTAAAATTAGAACATTAAAAGGAAAATGGTTACATTGACTTTCTGACTATAGAAGTACTACGATTAACATATTGCATATACTTCAGTAATACCCATCTGTTCACTTTTAAAGCTATTAAAAGCTATAGCAAAAGACTATGAAGAGTTTTAATTCCATCCTGCATTCTTAAGACTGAACATAGCACTATATAAAAATAGACCAAGTCAAGGACTATTTTATTTACCAAAAGAAGCTGAAGCAAAATCCCAAATGAGTGAGATCAAAAGTATTCAAACAGTAATCAAATAAATTTCTGTACTGCACACTTAAGGCACAAATTCCCTGCAAAATACGTATTTCTGTTACGTGCATTCTGTAAAATAGCAAATTCAAGATCCCTTCTGTATTTAAAGCAAATAAAAAAAATTCCACCTGTAAGTGCTAGCTCATTATAAGGCACTGTCTACTTGAAAATTAGAAGAGGGTTTTATAAAAAAAAAAAAAAACCTCTTGCCTGTAAAATCTGCTGTATTCAAGTCAGCACAGAAGTTCTGTAAGTAGAAGTAGTAACTCTTCTCTCTTCCTCTCTTGTTTTCTATCCACTCTTGTGCCAGCTACATGTTGGAAAGTAAAAGCTAAATAAAAATACTTTGAAGAGATTTGTGTATCAGAAGAATAGCTTATCATGACTCAAAAGGCAAACACACTAAGCAGAAATAAAAGAAAGCTAACAGACTGTCAAGTACAAGACATCGAAGAGTCCTACCCTCTTTTTTTTTTTTTTTTTTATATATGCACACACATTACAAACACACACACAGGGCAAATGAAAGCACTTCCTCCCCACCCACACCCTATTTAATGTACTTTCAAATCTCTTCAAAACAAATGTGGGTTCCCTCGATTGCATTTTCACCTTAAAATACCAGTATTATCCTGGTATTGACTTCATTTTCTACTTTATTTTTATGGGACAAGTGATGCAATGACTGAACTTGAAAGCATACAGACTTTAATTGAAGAAACACTTTGTTTTCCCAATATTAAACTATAAACTATTAAAGTTAAGCTGTTTGGAAAAAAAAAAACCACAAACCACTTCTCAGATTAACCTACTTTCTTCACCTAAGTTCTCAACATAAATAAAAACATTACATTCTTATCCTCTTTTTACAGACACTGTCATTGAAAGACCACAGTTTCTTAAACCAAGATTTCTGTTTTAAGCTTTATATGATACAAAGAGGAACCACCTCCCCTTTCCCTCTTTTTGCATGCTACTGTGGATACATGCCCAAAAAACCAGAAAGCTTCACTGAGGCAAGTAACACTGACAGTCCCCAGTCTTAAACATAACTGTCTAGATTATTTCCCCCAAATCATTCCTCTATTTAGATCTGTCTCTGAACGTTTTCAGAAGGTAAATAGAGGACATAAACCAGTTTTTAATCTCTTGGTAAAATACACTAGGCTTGATGAAAACAAACCAAGAGGCAGATATCTACTTACCGTTTCAAAGGCATTTAGCATCATCAAGGGGAAAAATGTATTAAAATAGTCATTGTACCCCTGAAATCGGACAGGAACAGGGGCTACTACAGTCTGCAGGAGATTTCCTGGAGGTCCAAACTGGCTGCAGTTTGCAAACATTTGGTAAGTCCACTTTAGGACTTCATTAACAAAAATACTATGATCACGCTGCTGAGCGCCAAGACAGGAAGAATAATAATATGCTTCTTGGGCAGGCCTTCTGGAAATATTTGAAGCATTGTTGTTCTGTCTATTCTGTGGCTGGAGAACATTTTTAGAAATAGAGGGCTGAGGTACATTACTGAAACTTGGAGACTTGCACATTTGATTTCCTGTTGGTACAGTCTTTGCATTTGGTGGCCTGACCACCGCCAGTTTCACTGCATTCACTTTGCTTTTTGAAGCTGGTCGTAGCTTTTGAACATCTTTGAGATCCTTGCTGAAGGCTGCATTCCGTGAAGAACTTGCTGAGCTGAAAATTTTGGTAGTGGAAGGCTGTCTTGGTTTAGAAGGTGGCAGGAGAGGTTTGGCAAATGAGTGATCTGCTTCTGAGCTGGTGGCCGAGTGCTTACTACAGTGCTCTCCTGGTTTTTCCACTTTTTCCATACAGTCTTTGAACTTACATTTCACAATAGTCGAGGATTCATTCTGCTGAAGGCTTTCAGCAGTATCCATTTCCTCTGGTTTTTTACTAGCTACGGTAGTATCTCGAACACTTTCCTCCTCGGAACATAATTCCATATCCACAGGATCTAACTGAGTTAAAAAAAGACCATCATCATCATCATCACCACCACCTTCACTGTTTTCATTTTGTTTACACTCATTTTCTTTCAAAGTTGTCTTCTCACCCTCAGGCTGGACAACGCAACCTTTTCCTGAAGGTTCACCTTTATCATCTCCAACAAGTGCAGCAGAAGAGAGACTTGAATCCATAGGTACAGGAGGAACCACCATACTGTTATCCTCTGATTTTCTGTGCGAGTCTGAAGAACTAGGCATTTTAGAGACCCATGTCTCCCCCTCCACAGAGACGCTTTCAAATTTTCTCTCACTGGCAGAGGGACAAACAGTCTCCTCCTGTTTTTTTTCCCTTTGTTTTTCAGCAGATCCCTCAACAGATGCCAGTTCAGAACTTTTAGGCTTTTGTTTCACAGATTTTGCATCCACTTCGCTAACTTTTCTGTTTCTACTCTCAGAACTTCCTGCAAGATTTTTCACTCCGACTCTTTCTTTGGGCCTTGTCTGCCTTAAAAACTGAAGGTCTTGGCAGGCTAGCAATTTTTTATTACGTTTTACAGACAAATTCTGAGGAGGAGTTAGTTTAGTCTTCTGTTTCTCTGCAACTCCAACTCTCCCTGCAGCTTTACCATGGCTGCGCATTTGAACTATATACTCTAAAGTACGCTGGGATAATTCAAACGCTTTGCGGGGTGCCTTCTTCAGACCAAGTTTTTCTACAGTTGATGCTGGTGCAGGACACTGCCGAACTTTCCTTGGAGGAACAACAGCAGGCATTGACCTGCCAGGTTGAGAAGTTTTTGATGTACTTTGAAGTAGCTTTTCATTTTGTACTGTTTTAAGAACAGGAGTTTTTTTAGGACTTCCTTGAATAGTTCTTGCTACCTTAGATTTTGCTATATTCTTCCGTGGGCTCACACTATTTTTCTTAAGGGCCAGCTTTGAAGCTAATGAGATGTCAGATGTAGATGCTTTGGGTTCGGTCAATTCTGAGTCCAGGGTGAAGTCTTTAGCAACAGTACCTTTGTCTGCAAAATTCTCCAGTTGATCTTTTGCACTGCCCTTACTAATAGATTCTTGCAATGTTGAATTAGTTACTTCTTTTGTATTATCGGCTTCTTTCTGATGAGAAATATTTTCTATCTGCTTTTCTATCAAGTTTGCTTCTTCCATGGCATCAGCATCTATATAATCCACATCATAACCCCATTCATTTATGTCATCATTCAGTGAGCCACCTGAATTACTACTATCACCTGATGTTGAAACATGACCTTGTTTATACTCTTGAGTTGCTTCCATACCATACGCTTGAGTATCTTGCCAAACTGAAAAGACACTAACTTGCGTTTCAAATTCAAAGTACTGAGACTCACAGTCTTCCAGTGACAAGGGAGAGCTTGGCACCTCTGGTTCTATTTTGACATCACTAACAGAAATGCAGCTTGAAGTTGAAGGCTGCTTTTCAGGACACGCATTTTCATTCATTTTTTTTGTTTCCTCCTTGTCAGCCGCAATTTCTTCTTCATCAGAAGAGTCTGAAATTACAATGACTTTCTGATCAAGGCAATCTGCATCACAGGGAGACTTGGTACTTTGGCCATCATTAGAGGATCTTACAGCACCTTTCACTTTCCTTTTAATATCACATATATTATGATGTACCGAGCTTTCTTGGCTTGAATCAAAGGGAAAATTGACACTTTTGGCATATGCAGCTAAAGACAATTTACCAAGTTCTCTATCAACCTGGGAGTCTGTTAAAGTATTATCTTCAGAAGCCATCTTCACAAAATCCTCCTCTTTCTTCCCCACTGAATTTTCTCTCTTGAAATATTCTGAAAATTTTAACAACCTGTCACTTGATTCACCCTTCACTGACAGTGGCCTGACCTGAGAAGCAGGGTTGGATGTATCCCTCTTGTTTTCAGAGCTAGATGGAACATGACCATTTGCTGAAGTTTCATCCATACACAATGTCTTTGAAATTTGACCTTTACAGTCATTTTTAACCAAGTCATTCAAATTAGGCTGTTCCCGGTCTGAAGTTTGCATGTCAGCATCTGTCTTAAACACAGACTTCAACAATGAACTTGATTTTTCTCCAGTGGGTACTTTTTTCAGTAAGGTGTCACTAATCCCTGAAAGCAAAATACTGTCATCTTCATTTTCCTGCATACCAGGTTCATTTTTAGAGGAGCTAGAGCAATCTAGTGGTGTTTCTTTTGACACCTGTTTAGTGGGGACCAGTCTAGATTGAAAAGCACTGCTGACACTTTTCTCCTGTGTACTTTCGCAACTCCTTGAAGATGGAGTATCAACAGAGATTTCATTTTCACACACAGTATTTGCTCCCTGATGTTTATTACAATCTTTGCTTGTACCCAGAGAGCCAGCACAAAATTTAGGTTGTCCTACCTCTGCTTTTGAAGCACTTGCTGCCAAAATGCAGTTTCTCAAGTCGCGTGGCTTCACTGGCTGTGACAGTTTTGAGGGCCATTCAATTTTCTGTACCATGTTTTTCAAATTTGTGACTCTATGCATATCTACTTTAAACTTTGAAGAGAAACTGGGAGACAAATTTCTTTCCTTTACATCTGAGCTGTCAACATGTTCTGGAGAACCAATACGAGTTTGAGCAGCCAGATTCATTGGTGTTACGGGTCCTGCTTCACATTTGTTTTCCAGCTCTCCGCCTCTTCTGAAATCCGAAGATTGGGCATTTAGATTAAAGCACTGATTATCCATATTGCATTTCCCTGCCACAAGATCACTGCTCCTATTTTCCTCAACGTTCCCACATACTTCTGTTGCCAAAGAGTTCTGTGGGCTGACATATTCCTGAGTTGTTGAGTCATTAAGTTCCTTTTTAACATTCATCAAGAGGCCTTCTGTGGATGTCCAAGATGTTGAACCTTTAGATGCATCTCTACATTCCTCTTCCCAGGCACTCTTTCTTCTAGCGAAAGGGTTCTCTTGATAATCTTCATCTCCACCTTCCTTCGATATGACAGCAAATGGTGAACAAAGGTCATCTCTGCCACGCGCACTCTTCTCTTGCTTTATAGAAACAGTAGGCAAAGTTGTAGAGTTTGCACTGTTCCCTACAGGCACAGGGGTATTCAATGCTCTGCCCTTTATACTTCTTATAACTTGCCTTAAACACAATTGTAATTCCTGGGTTTCCTGGACGTTCAGCTGCCAACCTAAAGATAGATTTCCTCGCAGAAAAAGATTGAGTTTGTCGAGGTATTTCTTGCAAAGAGCATGCTGCCCAAATTGATAGCCTTCTTTAAGAAGGCTACGTATCAACTGCACACAGGCGTGCTGCACAGAGTTAGACACTTGTAAAGATACGGCTGATGAACCTCTAACACAGTGTCCGGATGCCTTTTCAGTGCACCGTGCAGATGTTATAGTGGGAAGCTTAGCACATCTCACCACTGCTTCCACCCATTCTTGGGAGCTAATCCATAGCAAATGCAGGCACTTTTTATTTCTGTGTAGTTCAATAATGGACACCAAGATCATGAGAAAAAATTCAGAGACTTTGTCACACTGCTGGATTCTTTCATTGTCAATATCTTTGATTTCCGAGCAGAGGTAGTGAATGACCTCTACTATATATGCTACACCCAAGTCCTTGAGATCCATAAGTGACTGAACAAAAGGGATGAACCACAGAAATGTGCTGTGATGGACACGCATATCTCTGCCAATGTCAGACTGAAGCACATTAGCCAGTGTTTGCATATCTTCATACATGTTGGGGCAGTAGTCTGGACAAATGGCAGTCTTCCATCCAGTATCCTGAAAAAAAAATTCACCACACGTCACCCTCACTGTGCACATCTGCGCATTTCAATCTGCCAGGCTTTTTCTAGCCATAAAGGTTACGTTCTCTCAAACGTATGTTGATTAAATGATAGCATCTCTCATATCCTAATATAAGTCAAAATCTAAACTAAAAAAATGCAAAAAATAAAGATCAAACTAGCACATGTATAAGCAACTCACTTCCTGAAACGTAACCTATGAAATAAGTGTAAAGTAGTACTTTCTTTAAAAATCATTGTGAAACCCTCCAAAGATGTTGTTATGCTGACATAATTTAACCTCAGATAATCAAACATACATTTAAAGCCTTTAAAAGACAATTCATAAATACAACGTACCAACATCAAGAGAACACACTCACAAATGTTTCTTCTGCTTTATAACAGAAAAAAAAAATTGTACCATTTTGGAGCACGGTCTAACATTTGAAAGTACATCAATGCATACTTCCTTACTCCATACTCAATATATTAGTTTAAAATACTGAGAAACAAAAAGTAAAATACAAGAACTCAATCAGCAACTTTTCTTTTAAATTGAATTTAGAGTTTTCATTGAGGTACCAATGTTTCTTTCAACCTTAGATACAAATTCTTAGGCTTTAATACCATCTCTGCCTAATTCACAAACACATTCTTCTTTCCTCTTACAGCCTGAAAGCACCAGGTAAACAAGAAGTGACCAGACTGGCTGCTATTTAAGGCACACAATAGTGACATACATTATTTAATATTTTTCTTTACAATGTTACTAGTAGAAACAGAGTATCTTCACCTCCATATTTTATAGATAGTTTAAACTAACAGTGTCATTCAGTGATCAGAGTTTGAAGAACAAAGACATAAAATATTTTTTTTAATACCTTTTGAGGCTTTTCTGTGTTATAATTATACACAATCTGACTGCAAGTAACCATGTCATCATTGTAGTCTGACTCCAGTTCAGATTTTGTCCTAAAAAGAAATACAAATCATTATAGACTCCACACAACTAACTTAAACTATAAGAAAGCCAACTGGCCAAGACACAGATTTCACTTTCAGATACTGACCATGTGAGTATTAGAACCTGTCAGTGATAAAACATACCTATGAAAAGATATCATATTTAAAACTGTAGAGCTTGTTCTATCCTGCTCATAAGAGGCGGGGGAAGCGACTGCCTCAGAAAAAAGAGCTTTCTACTAAGCCACAGATTTGACTATCTTGAACAGACACCCAGAAGAATTCCATTTTCTCTGACTTTTCTATGCATACATGCAGCTCAATCATGGCTATATACTCACAAACTTTGTATGCAATTATTTGAACACAACGCTCTAATAGCTTGTTTAACTGAAGAAAGTCTCCTTTAATATGCCTTCCTCAGCTATCTGTAACATTCCTTGTATATGTATCTGTAGCTATCTATAACATTATAGACTGTGTGTATATAAAAATACTCAACATTTAAGACATTGTCAAAGTTGACTAAAAATATATCACAGGAAAACAGTAAACAAGTGGTATGGTTATCCAGGTACTATTTTCCAATAGCTTTTTTAAATTAAGACAGTTTCAGTTTTGAGAAACAGGAGGTGTTCCTAAAGTCTTGGGTCCCGGGTTCTTATGAAAATCCTTAAAAGGGACAGCATGCCGAAAGATGGAGTTCAAGTTTGCATAACAAAATTCTGTTCCCATAGAAGCTGTTTCTAGACCTCCTAGCAGTGTACTACCCAACCACTCCTGCACTGAACAAGCACTCTACCTAATTAACTTTCTGTTCAGCACTGACAATACTGCCACTCAGAAGTGATTCAAAACATCCATTTTATCTTAAGATAGAAGTATATGAAGATAAAACCTTTCAAAAGAGTATCTGATGCCTGCTATGTGTTTTAAAGCATTTCCTTTCAGCAGTTCACTATGTTATCCAAGCTATTAAAGGCCAGTTCCATGATTCTCACTTTATTACCTTCCCCAAAAGGAATACATTCAGAAAAGGAATACAACTTTTAAGACAATACAGTACCATTAAGGAAATCTAATCTTGAGAAATATTTAAGACTTAACACAAGCTGAAAGTAAACGCAAATCAATTGTCATCTGGAGCTACAATAAAACCTGAAAATTCTGGAATTCCCTTAATTTTACCAAGAGTCTCAGACATGGCAATCTTCATTAAACTTCAGTGCAAGTTGGTTATAGCACTAAATAAGCACTAAACAATTAGCAGCCTTCCTGATTCAGGAAAATGCTGAAAAGTGTAACAGGCATCACAGTAGTCAAAAAGAAGCGAGCATATGTTTTTTGAAAGAACTTCACAATTTTAGGAGACCTGCTTCATCTTTTCATTGCTTGAAGTTGGCAACATCTGATCTTTTTACCTGCCACCTCCCCCCCACACACACACACAAATTAAGGCAGCACTGACAAGAAAACCAAGACCAAGCTTCTACGCTACCTGGTATTAAAATCATAAAACTGTTCTAGTCTCTTAACAAAACTGACCTCTTAAAGCTACTGCGTATATTCTTTATTTCATTGTTGTAGCTCACACTGTTGATAATGGTTTGAAAGGCTTGGACAGGATCAATAAGCTGACCCCATACTTTAGATCCGAGCTGATCCAAAATAACCATGAAACAATGCAGCGCTGGCCAGAAGGGGTCAGTAGAATCATCTGAAACATAACAGTAATATTGGGGAGAGTTGAAATGCAGGAGTCCTGTACATTCTTAGACTAAGCTGAAGTTGAAAGTAGTTGGTTTTCCTTTATTTTTCTTAAATACTAATAAACAAATATGTATTCTAGTAAGTTGCAACTAAACTTTTTAACCCAGAAAAAGGATGAAAAAAAGTCAACCTCACTTATCTGTACAGACAAGCACTTAATGCTCCTTATGCAGTCTTAAATCAACAGGAACCTGGATAACTATTACTAACATTTCCCAACTCTATGAAACTGATTCTTCCACACTGATTTTTGCAGTGCTGTTCTTAGAAGTGGGTACAACTTATACTGTTATGACAACTTACACTTCAAATTTAAGCAAGAAGCAGTTGTTTTTCCTTCAAGTGTGTTCTTCCTTCTTCATATCATATTGTATCCTCAATAAACATACTGAGCTTATAAAGATCTAGTCATTTAAGAGGCAGCCCTGGTCTTGAGCTCACGTGCCATTCCCGGGCTATGCCATGGCACGTGGCCTACAGGAATGGCCCAAAGGCTACTAGTCTAAATTCTAAAGTCTAAATTCCCAGCTGCAAAATGGGTTCCCCCAAACAGATGGATGGAAAAGTCAAATTGTAAGCAAGCTGCAGCAATTCAGAAGGCATTTGTTTATTTTAGGACTCAAAACCCAAACTTCACGCCACAGCGAAATCCACATTCCCATAAGACTGTATATTACATGAAAACAATATGGTAGAAATTATAGATTTGTCCTCTCAAAACCTCTAAGCCAGCCTTATGCAAAGCACTGCCATCCCTTCTCCACTTAAAAGTTTGTTTTAATGTAATTTTTCAGTATTTGTCAGTATTGCCCACATATTGTACAATATTTGCCATCTTCCAGAAGATAAATAAGCCTCAGTTAAAACCACCTCAGCATTACACTACTAAGCATCTACTCAATTAAATGAGGAAGCCTGATAAAGATGAAAAATAGGCTATGAACTGTCTTAATCTCAGTATCAAAAATAGTTACCAGCTCCATCTTTCTCCATGGCGTGAAGTATAGACTGCATGAAATCATTTTGTTTGTCTGGGCCCAGTAACAAGGAGTCCATAGCTTGCTCTTCCAGCACTGTTAGCAACATACAAATCCCTAAAAAAAAAAAAGCAAACTGTCCATATATTTGCAAAAATTTATTCTAATTTTCACCAAGGATCATTTTCCAAATGCCGTTATCAGTGTAACACTTGACCAAAGAGATCAGCAGCAACATGAAACTAATTAAACACTACCTCACTACTGCAGTTGTGCAACGTGCAATCTTCCCATTTGACATGCCCCAGAATAAACAGCACCTATGAAATAGCAGAGCTCTGACTTGAAAAAAGTGCTTACAAGATGAGAGAGACTACACATACAAATTCAATTCTGATCGTAAACACTCACCTAGCCAATAGTTCTTGTAGTTGGCAGTATCGTATAAATGAGATGGCAGAAGGATGAGTTTACCCTTTTCAATCCTTGAAGAGCTGTAAATATCTGGACTCTCAAAAAGCCCCAACTCAATAACTTTGAACAAGCAAGTCAGCACTTCCTGTAAGTCATAGTAATCATCCCTGTCAACCTTCCCTAAATTCCTTGCTGTTAGGATGGCCCATCGACGAATCTAAGGATTAAAATAAAAAACCCTATATATCAATAAAAAGAACAAATAAAATCACAATGCAATAAGATTGGGAATCACTGCTACTACAAATGGGACAAAGGTATAGTTTTACTGAAGGTCTCATAATTGCAAGTAAGAGTTCGTCTTTTTCCAAATAACCTTAGAAACAGGCTTACTATCCCTTTGAGAAGATGTTAGCAACAAGTTAAAATTCAGGGTAATACACACAAATAAAACTCCTTGGAATTCATGTGACAAAGGGGCAGCATTCAGTTTTGCACTTGCTTTATGTTGTTTAAACATTACTAACCAACATTTTCTAATTAGATAACTGTATACTATAACAATAGATGCTAATTCATGCTGTCAGCATAGGACACATCATTTCTTGCCTTGGTGGAATCATTCTCTGACCTACTGGGAAAACTTCAGAGTTTCAGCAAGCGTGAAGTACAATACTATTAAACCTTTTACTGTTTCTTAGGACAACTTGAAATTTCGTACTCCACATTGGTGTTTAAATTAAGTCAGTCTTGGAAACAGTACAGCCACAACCTGCCCACCAGCCACAGCAAACATAACCTGACTCTCCAAACCTGAATCAAATGAGGTGGCAAAACGATGGTATGAACTCATACTCTCCCACAAAAACAAATAGCCCACTTGAGTTACAATTCAATACTCCTTTGACAGTTACACATCCAAATTCACTTTACAAAGATAAACATACCACACAGGGACTTTTCTAAGACTGTGCAAAGAAAGCACTCAATCTCCCTTCAGTATTAACATGGTGCAAGAGGATTCACTGTTCCAACAGGCCCTCCCAATTGTAGCAGGGTGTATGTTCCTAAATTCTCTGTATTATCACTATTTTTCAGTACTCTTCCCTATTATTGATACCAGTTTCATTTCTAGGATGCCTACATGTAGTCTGAAGGAACAGCCTTCTTGCAGGATAACACATCATCTTCAAAGCAATGTAGAAAAGTCTGTACTGCTTTGAGAACCTCAGGTCTTTTTTTGTAATCTCTCAAATCCTTTTAACCAGCAAAAAAGAAAAATAGAAGTGTTGGTAACAAACGTAACTGCAAAATCTCTCAATCCTTTCAACCTAGACACTGCCGGTATTCCAAAATTTCTCTTTTTGTTACTTTCTTAAGAGATTGGATTAAAAAAAGAGAGCAGTCTCTGCTACGTACACAAGCATGAATGATACTAAGATCAGTTGATACTTCTAAATATCATAAAGAATAGAGCTCTCCTGTTTACACAAGCATGAATGATACTAAGATCAGTTGATACTTCTAAATATCATAAAGAATAGAGCTCTCCTGTTTACACTTTCAAATGAACTTTTGATCTCTGACTGTTCAATATTAAAATATCCCGTATGGATTCAGACACAGGCCAAGAAAAAAAAAAAAAACAACAAACCAAAAACTGTGGAGTTTTGCGTTGTCCCACCACAGAACACACAAATCCATTAAAACATAATATTGCCTCCCTGTAATGACAAAATTCAGTAACAATTAAAGGGCATTTGAGAGGAAGTACACTGCTGAGCATCTCTTCTCACAAGTAACTACACTATATTCTCACTTTTTCCAATATTTAAGGTTCTAACATTACTAAAATGTGACAGCTTCTAGGGATAGAGAAAGAACAGGGAAGAAGGGGATTAATGCGCTAAATTACAAATGCTGGCCCACTTGAGAAGAATTCCGTTTGGGAGTATATGGTGTAAATTTACAGTTTGGTTGAACATCTGTAACTTCTGCTGACTAAATGCAAACAGTAAAGTGATTCTAGAAGTTATTGCAAAAGAAGAGTCTTCCCTCCTTCAGCAAAAGTAAATACATTCCTACTGAAATCTCATTTATATTGTTAGAGAAAAATACAAAAAAACCCCAAACACTAAAAATTCTGAATGCTACTATTTTCATATTCTTGTCATTAAAAATAAGAATCTGTTCTGATACTACTTAAAACTAAGTTTTAGTGGAACAGAAGAAATAACTTACCACTTCATTTGGGTGTACCAAAAAGAGATAAATTCCTGGATATTTCTCAAAGACCTGAAAGGAGTTGTGACTTTGTTCCATTCTACAGAGCACTTCTACACACAGCTCACCTAAAAGGACAAACACACTTACAGTAAGGACTAATTTATACGCTCACAAAACAAAAAACACCCCTATTTAGTGTCAAAATAAATATAATAGATACATACACACACACCGGTACTTTGGTTTAACTACTATTTGTTGTTTGCAGCTCTTTCAGTGGAAACAATACCATTCCCTTCCAACCGTATACTGTAAGATACATACTGACTTTCTCGTGCAGCAGCAGATATGGATATTTCAGTACTTCTAGAAGGGGCACTCGCAGGTTGTTCTCAAAATCCAGGCCCACATAACCAGACAGCTGTGTCTCTCCGTTCTCGTCCACTATAAACAACTCATCATCTTCTACAGCGTCTTCTTGCACGGATTTCTCAACGTGGGCAACAAGACGGGAGGTTTCCAACTCCCACAAGATCTATTCAGTGGGGAAAAACAACTGAAGTGCATTTGCGAAGAAAGTGATTAAGGACGTTTATCATCAGATGCAGAAACCTTAGCTAGACTTCCAAAACTTGTAATTCCATTTTGAAAAGTTTCTTTCCAAGCGTGGTGTGAAACAATAAAGGTTTGGCATGGCATTCAGATTGTGCAAATCACAAAACTCTCACTTCAGAGTTAAGCTTATGAAGTAATTTTTAAAAGAGTGGCATTCAAACCAGAAACATTTTTATAATTGTGTTAAATATTCATAAACCATTTCAATAATTATTTCAGGCCATAGGTTAGTCACAAAACGTCTTTATAGCAGCCAGTGGAACAAAGCGCACAATACAGAAAACCATCATATTTAGGAAGATGAGAAAAGCAATTTTAAACCCTTGCCTTCTCGTATTTTGCGATGTAGTAGTGGAAGGGAGTGGACGTAAACAATACAGACTGATCAACTTGCTGAATATTTGTAAGGGATTCGGCTTACGTAACATTACTCATCTAAAGTAACTGCTCAATTAGAAACCAAGGTTATCTCCTACAGTTAACAGACACAGAAAGGAACTTTCAGCAGTCCAGTCACGCCACTTATTTCCAATCTATACTCAGATGTGATTGCCCTCCAGAGAAATCTAGCAGACTGATTTGAAGAGCAACCTTCTACACATCTGTATTACGATCAATTAGCTACAAACACTCATTTTACATACATATACACATAAGGGAAAATAAGCTTTCCCAAATAAAAAATTGGATACTAGTGAGGGAGAACTATAAAAGGCTTATAATAAAATAAAAAGTTTTCAAACTTTTTTGATTGTTTTTAATCACACAGGCTTCCAAGATCAGATCTCTGAAATTCAAGCATAGTAGAAAACTATGAATTAGAAGTGAAGGCAGACAAAAAGAGGAACAAACCCAAAGCTGAACAAAAACTACAGGAAGGAAGAAAATGCATTAAAGAAATGGAGCTCTTGGTTTGTTTGGCAGGTGTTTTTTTTTCAGATGTCAAACCACCACAGCATGAATAAAGTTCAAGGTATAACGTCTAGTCAGCAACTTCCTACTACTGTTTAAGTTCTCACTAATTTGAATATACACAAAACAAGAGGGTCCTCTTGTTTTACCATCGGCTCTTTGCAACTCAATATAAAAAAAGCAAACAGTTAAAAAGCAATGTACACTATCTCCCAAAAAACAATAAAACAAAACCCCTGCACAAAAACTCCCCCCTACAGCCTCTTCTGAAATTTTTGTTCCTTTCCGAGCTCTCCCGCTCAGTAACGGGCAGGAACCAAATCTCTTATTTACCTCATGCAACTTTGGCAATTTTTCCCTTGCTTTGTGGTATTCAACCACACACTCCAGGCAGTAACAGAGATCATCATTGGGTCCTTCAAGATCTTCCGGGGACAACCGTTTAGAAGCATAGCTCTTCAGGAACTCAGTGGTGTCAGAACCACTAGGCGTGCACCATCGACATATGCTCATTCTTTGGATGGAAAGAAAAAGGAATTAACAGAAGTCCAAAGACTAAGAAAGTGGCAAAGCATTTCCTTTCAGCCACAAAGGTACCTAATTTTCAAGTGTGATGAGCTTCAGGATTTATGTAACTCATAAGCAGTATACGTACATATGTTCTTGGATGTTCTTATATCATATAGGTGCATGCAATTAAACAAAGACATACGGATTAAAGCATTAAATGAACATTGCAGAAAAATGCCTGCTGAATGGCAAACATTAAAAGTAAAGCAGCAAGAAGTAGTCAATTACATAATTTGCAAACTACAAAACATGTGAAGATTCACTTTACATACAAAAAAACACCCCTCATCCACACGTAATGCACACTTACCAGAACTATAATGCTAAAGTTCATTATATTGTTTTAGTGGTATCTGTGGAATCTAGGTCTAATGAATACAAAATTCAATTAGCTTTTTTCCTTATGAAATTTATAGGTCAACAAATCCCTGTTGTCAAAAGCAAAAGATATTTCTGCAAAACTTTCCTGTCTTCATTATTATTATAGTTAGAAAGCATCATAAAATTCTCACCACAGACTGCTTCCTCTAAAAACAGAAGTTCTTCACTAAGCAGCAATACAGTCATCTCAGATCCTACTAGTCTGAAAAACTCAACAGAATACTGGAAAGCTTGAACACTTGAACTAGCTATATAAAAGGAATGACGGTAATTGCTTGTTATTTAGCATAACAAAGAACGCAAAAGCAAAATCCAGATAAAGCGATAAAGCAAACCCATACATTTCCTTGTATGTACATACTGTAAAAAACCCAACTGTGGTATTTACCTTTAGAAAAGGAAACTAGCTGCTGTGCAGCTGTGCCAGGTCACATGGTGGAAAGGAGAACAGAGCTGCCCTGCAGCCAGGGATGGGGCCGACACCTTCAGCCATACATGACCTCGAGTACAGCAAAGCGGCGTCTTCAACAGCCTATCCCCTGGTAATTGAGCCTTGAGAGTATTTCAAAGATCTAGATCAAAAGAGTAACCATCAGAAATGGCTTCGGTTCCCGCGTTATAGACTAAGAATCGCTGTGGTGTTTAGGTTAACGCACTTAATATTAAACACGCGTTTACTGAAGCGGTAAGTACGATTTGCAGCTGAGCCCCTTCTGTCACTCAAATGCGGGCAATACGGCATCTACCGCGCCTTTTTCTAAAAAAAGCTGTGGAAGTTTATCTACGCCCATCAAGCAAGGAAATAACTTAAACAAGCGCACACGGACACACAACCCCCAGCTGCGAACGTAACCTCCGACCTGCTCCGCTCTCCTACCGACACGCCTTACCGGCTGCTCGCTGATGAGTGGCGACACCTGCTGACAGAGCCGCCCCCGCCGAGGCAGAAGGCGAAAGTAGTTTCTGTTT